TTTATGTGATAGTCTTTTTTCACCCAGAATGTATATCATGTTTTATCTAAATAAACAAGTAATAAAACATGAAGATTGTAGCAAGGGGAAGCAACTCTGTTTACGCACGCATGTGTTACCATTAATAATCTTCGCTCGGGCGCGTTTGGCCTTTGGCGCCCGAGGGCTACGCTCTTATTAACGGAAATGAATTTTAAACAATTCTTTTCCAGTATACATTAACAGTGTACAATAATGACACCAACTATATCCAGGATTGAAAATAGTGCATTCTCTACACATCGTAGTTACAAAAACACAACAAAGTTTACCAATATCGAATACGTAGCGGTTATTGTTACATGTCAGTTACCAAAAAAAAGACAGTTGGATCGAATTAATAATGCTCTCCTCGAACGAAGTAGGTACTGAATACAACACAACTTTTCAGGACGTTCCAAGTGGAAAATAGTTAAAAAAAGATACCTGGGTTTAATATTTTATGCCATCCCCGTATAGTGCAGTTACAAGATACAACAGTAAATATCTGTATTTGGATACGTAGTTTAGTTAGTTTGAGATATAAGTCTAGCTACCAGTTATCGAATGAAATCCCTGTACAAAATAGTAACAACACCAGCCCTGACACACACATCCCTGGCACACAGCTCCGGCACACACAGCCCTGACACACAGCCCTGGCACACACAGCCCTGACACACACAGCCCTCACACACAGCCATGGCACACACAACCCTGGCACACACAGCCCTGGCACACACAGCCCTGACACACACAGCCCTCACACACAGCCATGGCACACACAACCCTGGCACACACAGCCCTGGCACACACAGCCCTGACACACAGCCCTGGCACACACAGCCCTGACACACAGCAGTTTCAAAATACAACAATAAAGAGATTCAATTTTAGTCTAAAATCGTGTGGATATGAGAGTTTTCTACCTTTAAAGGTCTAAATAGACAAACAAAACTTGATGACGTCATATCGATACTATATCTATAACAAATCACACCTGGTCATTTCAATATTATATACTTTGAGAAAAAATAATAGCATTGTTATCGAAGGAAGCTCTTATCAATCAATCTATTGATATGTGATATGTGGTATATCAACAATGTAATTGCATGCATGTATATTGTTATTTTTCTATTGTTTTGGGTGTATTTGATATTTTGTTATTACTAATACATAAAAAAAACGGTGGCCGAGAATAAAACAACACCACCACCCAGAGCGCTTCTCCCGGAGAGTGGTTATGACTCTGCGCCTCCGGTGAAGTATGGGTCTCATTGGTGCGATGTTACGATCGTCTTTGCAAAAAAAGAAACCATTTCCCTCCAATACCACACCCTCTGACGTAAGCCAAAACAACACCAAAATAATAATTCAATTTTACACATCAAATTTGCTAAAATTTCTCACATTTCCGTACCTACATTTTGTACATCATAATTCACTTAAAACCAATCCATCAATTAATTACGAAATTCGAAAAATTCTAATGAAGTAGGTGTCCATTTCTCAATGAAAACCAAAACCGACTATCGCTCAATACTTATGTGCAAATGTTATACCTAACATGTTTCTGAATATCTGTATTTTAGCATAGAAATGTACACGTCCCTTTAAAACAATCTCAGAAAAATACACGATTTAAATAGGATTTTCTCCATAAAAGGGAAAATGAATGCATATTTTTGTCGTTATTCATATACATGTATCTATATAAAAATGCAGCAAAACGCAAATATCTGCCCAGTCTTTTTAAAAATAATTAGCAGCTCGAAATCCTAAACATAAACCAAACAATCTGTTATTTCTTGACTTAACCACACTTGCTGATTGCGTAAAAATGTGGTCTGATATGTTTGATAGATTTCCTGCTTTCAAATTTGATTAAGCTTGCTTGAAATCCCATAAAAAGTTTTTCAATTTTTCGAAAGAATAACATTCAAGCTGATCGTTTTTCTTTATTACATTCCTCCTGAATACCGGTTGATAACGAGAAGGACTTGACTCCGGAACTTCGATATTTCGATATAAAACTGTTTTAGCGATATGTTTCACATCATGATGCATTATCATATTTTATTTTCTGCCATTTTTTTTTCTGCACGACTTTAGAATACCAAATGATAATTGTGCATGCCTAGTAATCCCCACTACCCAAATCTCTGTTCCTGCAACATAACCATTAACTATGGTATAACAAAGGAACGGACAACGATTCCGAATGCATTCACCTTTACAGATTTCATATTATAGATACGGCGCGCTAGGAAGTATCGCATATAGAACAGAGTAACATATCTCCAGTATCTGATGTTAATGTCGACGTGTGAAAACGGAGTGACTGACTTCTCCTATTACCATAGAAATCCTATTATCTAACTTTGAATTCTTCAATCACAAAAGACAACATTTTGGAATCGTGTCCTTTGCAATTGAAGAATAGTCATCTGGTTACAAATACATTTTAAGTTTTACTTAATGATTTAATGGACCCCCGGAAACTGTAAATTAAATAGTGTAAACTGTTTTCCCGGCATTACCCTAGCTTTGCTGAATCGTGTCTGTAAAGAAAACCATACATTGTGTGACTTTTATTAGGAATTAAACAAAATATTATGAACAACATTGTTCTGTTTGTAAACGTTAACCCGGGCCAGACTGGGATTCGAGCCCAGGACTTCAGATTGTTATGCCATCGCTCTAACCGATTGAGCTACCTATTCAATTGAAGTGCCCAGAACAAACTATACTTCGGTAATATCCTAGCAAAAGTTAAGGGGAGGTTATTGTGTATACGAATAGCCATAGTACAGTGGGAAAGGTATCCTTAACTAAATTTGTAACGCTAATGGAACAATACTTTGTATACTGAAAGATGATACAATTTTATTTTCTCGTGATAGTTTCAAAATTTTCCGTTGAGTGGTTTTCGAGATATGTTGTTATATGTCATATTCGAAATTTAACTTTCGCGATGAAATATTGGTCAGCTGAAAAACAAATTCGCACATTAATTTAGTCGTCAACTTTTAAAGACTGATGAGAAAAAATGATAGTTACAACAGTATTACCATTGACTTTAGGAATCCTGGTTGAAAAAAATGTGAAGTAAAGAAGGAAAAAAACACCAGCCACCATCGAGATTTTCGTGCGCCCTGCAACTCGTTAAGTGGTCTTTAGCTGTGTTTCTTATTTTGCATACAGTAGTAACTAATCGCTTAGGCATTATTGTCTTGATCTAGTTTCGGAGACTCAATCCAATGCAAGGGAAGTAACTCGTGTAGAAATACCGGTAATTTTCTTCCGTTCCACCCAGAGACGTACACTACTAATATACAAGTACACTGTACGTACGCGCGACAGGGACAAAGGTTTACACCATATTGTTTTTATTATTTATAGTCTATTTCTTAATTGTCTGTTTATAATGATTAACTATTTACAGCAATATTACAATGAAGATGTCATCAGGTATTACTGTAGCGGTAGGTTAAATAGGTCAAAGTTTGATATTCCACATAAATATTGACACATTTTTGTTATTAAAACCACTTTTTTTTCTGAAAAGGTCTATATATCTATTATACTGTGATAAACATGTAACTTATATTTGTACACTGACAAGAAGTCTTCGCAATTATTATCGGAGAGATGCTTCTAGCATAATGGAAGTCATGACAGACTTTGTAGTTCCGATACGAATTTCAATTTATGAGATGTCATTTTGTTCAAAGTGTTGATGGAATTTTCCGGTACAGTGTCCAGTGCCATACTATTCCAACGTACCAAGTTTGAGCAAAACGGAACAATTTCAGATTTTTGTCCACTAAGAAGCCAGTCCACGGCGGCTGCCATCTTGAGAGTTCAAAGTGCCATAATTTATCCGGACAAAACTTGATTGAATTCGAACAGTATATCAGTTTCAACCAATCGGAAGAGAGCTTATGGCTGCCATTTTGTTTGAAAGGAAAATAAATGGAAGTTGTGGAAAATCAAAGTTCCTTTTGCTAAAAAACAACTTCAAAATAAAATGAATTTGGTCAAAACAGGCGATATCTAAATTTCACCTAATCGAAAATATTTCCGTGTCATACTATATCACTTTCTAACACGATTCGTTTGCAACGCGTGTTTTGATTGGAGACGGACCATGTTCTAATCTGCGATAGAAATATGATCAATCGTGTTAAGCGCCACCCATCGCACTTAAGCCAAGCCCCGTTTCTAACCAAAACAATATGGCGTCAAGCTCACCTCTTAGCGAAACCCAGCTGATAAGGCTAGCAGACAAAAGAACAGAAAGGACCGATGAGATGTATTTATTGAATTAATTAAACAGTAAACATTCCTTGTTTTTACCTCCATATATTGATGAAACGTTTGTTCCATCCGGGTGTGTGTGTTTCTAGTTAGATCCGAAATCAAATAAAACAATTGCACACGTGTCGTATGAATTTTGCTCAAAGCTTTTCACAGGCCTAAACAAATTGTCGATACGCACAACTTGACATGCCTACTGACATGGAAATGTAAGAAATTGGTCAATATAAATCCAATGTGTTGTTTAAACTTTGGTAACAGGGCGTTCACGAACAATCCAAGATATTCCGCCTGGTCAACATACAGATCGAGCGCTCATATGGGCGGGGCCAAATGACCGACTATTCAAAGCTTCTTTCTGATTGGTCAGTCCGCTGCAGAATGAAACGTCGGCATCACAGGTCAGAGAGTACTTTACTACGTAATTGTAGCAAATAAATACAATGTTTTTAAACATATCAGCGTAGTGCGTTTGTTAAGGTGTGTTAGAATGGGGATAGTACGTTGTGTTGCGTGGCTATACTGGCGATTAGAACATGAAATTCCATGTTCTAATCGCCAGTATAGCCACTCAAAATAACATACTATCCCCTAATTTGTAAATAAAGAATGAAATCAAAATATATTGAATTTAAAATAATGTTTATTCCATTGCTAGAGTTTATAAACAAAATGCAAGTAAATACAATTCATATACATTATGAAGATACAGAAACAAACATTACAAATTATGTGTTAATATTACATATGAAAGATAAGTATCAAGAAATTGCTCTGCCGCAATATTTATACACATTTGCATGACACAATCGCTATATATTGACATTTCTACTGAACTTGGACTCAATATACCTACTAGACACGTTGAAAGGTTATTTTGCAATGAACTTTTCAGTTTGCGTATGAATTCACCAGCATGTTATCAACCTGATTACTCAGAGCGCGGGAAGTAGTTCTATTAATTAATGGATTGTAGGTTTTTTTGTCAGACATTTTTAATTGAATTAAAGAAATACAGTTAACACCTTTTTTTGGTTTTTTCGTTGTAATCAATGCAATCAACTTATTTATCTAACCAGGACGACATCTCACAATGGATGATGACATCATATGCTTCGATACCTCCCGAGGTGTTACACTTACACAAGACCGATATATGTTAAAATTATCCATAAAATATCAATATCGCACTGAATGTCAATATAAGGATAGAATCGCAGTTCATAAAATTTGTCGCAAAACCCATTGAGGTTTATATCCCTTAAACCTCAACAAAAAGCAAACATTAGTCAAAATTTACTGGGCCGTTCTGGACAAAAAAACGTTTTAAAGGTACAGTTGACGGACGGACGGCGGACGCTGCAGTATGGCATCAGCTCACCATGGTCCTTCGTACCAGTTGAGCTAAAAAATACACTATTGACGTACAACTTTGAAAAAAAAACTATTGACTGTTCCATATTCGATAAAACATTACACTTTTGACGGTACAATTTTGATAAAAATGACACTATTGACGGTACAATATTTAATAAGAAGAGCTGCTGGAGAGCAGCATAGTTCGCCTATTACTGATATTTGGTTTACAATAGCAAATATCAAAAGAAACACAGGTATAGTAAAACCTTGATATAGTGGCAGTCATGTCATTTGCCTCCTCGCTAACCACCAACATATTTTCAGGTCCATTAAATTGTGTTTTTCTTAATGTTTTCTGTATACGTTTACCTCAATTATTGCCCATCCCCTTGATAATGTCAATGTTTTTTTTTTTAAATGGTGGCAATATAACAAGGCTTCGCTGTACCTTAGCATGTAGTACATTTCAGAAGAAGAGATGACCAGACAACGTGAAATAGTCAACTATGTAATGATGGTGGGGACCGATCCGACACTACACATGCAAACTTCCACAAAAATGTTTACCGCGTCCAATTAAGGTGTTTCTGGCTTCTAAAATATACAAATATGGTTCAGAAACTACACAAAACAACTTATCAAATAACTTTAACCTCATGCTTAAGAGAAATTAACTAAGTCATAAAAAAATGTTTTTTGGCCCTTAAAATATGAAAATATGGTTCAGAACATTGCTAACACATCTTATATATATTTCAACCTTATAATAGACAACAGCCTATTAATAGTGTTGGTCCAACACCTCACCAAAAACCTTGCCAAACATTTTAACTTTAGGCCTCAAAAACGTTAGTCCAACACTTCACAAAATATGACGCTATTAACGATACAATATTTGATAAAAATTACGTTATTGACGGTACAATATTCAACAAAAATGACATTTTTGGCTGTACAAAATACGATAGAAATGACAATATTGAATATACAACATATGGTAAAAATGACACTATCAACAGTTCAATATATGATAAAAAGACACGGATTCATGTGAATATGTTTGCATTTAGTGAACTGCAGCTGTTAAAACGTTTGAATGTCTACAATGTCGAAACCGAACGAAATTCCCTTTAAATACAACTAAGAAATTCATCCAAAAGATGGTCATACAAATGATTGTTAACCCCCTCCTGGTACTTTGCTTTATCTAACACAGTTTTTCCCTGCTTGTCAAGTATGGTTGTGATATCATGTTTACGTCCTGTTGATTCTAGATATTGTTTTTCATGGGTTTCACACTCATTGAACATTTCTACGTTAGACGTGCGTGACATAGCAATGTAATGTAAACAATGACCCCCATACTTATCTACAACTGCGGTTAGTTCTGGGTACGATTGACAAAAGTGTAAACAAAGTTCCATGTGTCCACTCATGCAAGCCTCATGCAACACTGTTCTCCCGTTATTGTCAAGTATGGTTGTAATGTCATACCTACGTCCTGTTGATTCTAGGTACTGTTTTACCTGGGTTTCACAATCAGTGAACGTTTCAACTGACATCCATTCGGCTAAGTAGTGTAGACAATGACGGCCGTCTTTATCTACAACTGCAGTTAGCGCTGGGTACGACTGACACAAATATAAGCAAAGCTCTTTGTTTTCTCTTACACAACTTTCATGTAACACTGTCCATCCACATACATCCACTAACCGTTCCATGTACTTAGCACACACACACATTTTGTGGACCACGCGACCATTTACTGATTCACACATGTGTTTATTCTCATCTCTACTCAAGGATTTCATGACAGATCTTTCTACTATTTGAAATATTTGAAAGTTCCCTGTCATTGCAACATGTTGAAGCGAGCTTCGTTTTAACTCATCCGTTCCATGAGCCAAAATGTTGCAAGTGTCGCATAGCACTGCCACCATTTCTTCCTTTTCTAACAAGCATGCCTCGTGCAGGACATTAATATTGCAAACATGATAAGATGAATTATTTGACTTGTATGCTCTTGTTGAAAGAGTGATGTCATATTCCAACAGTTTACGTAATACATTTACATTTCCCCCCTTTACGGAATAAAATGGCGTTATAGTTTCAGGTTCCACACTCTCTGATAGGAGAAACAGGACACATTCTTCTGATCCAGTATAACATGCTAGGTTTAACAGTACAGGTTTGATCGAATCTCTCAAATCCTTGTTGATCGATCGAAGCACATTCACACTCCCCCTTTTCACAACACAAAATGGCGCGTTCTCTTTACATTCTACATCCCCGGATAGAAGATATGAAACACATTCTTCATAACCAATATAACATGCTACATTTAACAGAAAAAGTTTGATATCATCAGTCAAATCATTGACAATGTTTTTAAGCACATTCATACATTTTCTTTTCACAACACAAAACGGCGTGTTCTCATCACATTTCACATCATCAGCTAGAAGACATTCCAAGACACATTCTTCTGTTTGAGTAGAACAGGCTTTATGCAACAACTCTAATTTCATTTGATCATCTAGGTTTACAACAACTTCCATAAGTATCTCTTCCTGATTAACCCCCTGAAGCCCCGACCAAAATGCGTCTATGTCAATACATGTACCCAAATTCTGTTTCAAAAGTTTCAAAACAGGGTCCATTGGCCCGTAAGAACATGCTTGTTTCCACAAGTTAGATTTGATATCATCATCCACCATAAAATATATGTTTACAAGCATATCCCATCTTTCCCATTCATCATAATAACATGAATCATTATCTTCCTCGATAAATGACCACAGTGATGTAAACTTGCTAGGTTTGACACCCTGACGAAGAAGATAAAAAACATATCCAGGTGAATAAAAGTCAAATGCGTAGTCCAACAATTCAACTTTCACCTCATCATTCACATATCCAACAACTGCCTGAAATACACTGAAATTATTATCATGGTCGTCTTGCCTATATGGATATGATTCAAACAAGCTCGGCAAATCTGTGCCTTTGCCAGGTTGTACACCTTTAGAAAGAAGATATAAAACACATTCATCTGAACAATCACATGCTTCATTAAACAGGGGGAGTTTCATCTCATCGTTCAAATATGGGAAAATTTCCTTTAGTACATCGACATCTCCTACAAAACCACCTTCGCAGTACGAATATTTCTCAATCAAAGACCAAAATGTTGCGAAATTGTCAGGTATTATTCCCTTGGACATAAGATATAAAGCACATTTCGTTGCATGAGCAGAACATGCTTTATTCACAACATCAAGTTTGTCAAGACTTTTATCATCCAGCCAACTCATAAACCCTTTCATAAATTGATCATTAGTCCAAACACGCAGATAGTCAATGCTATAATCACGTGGATCTGTGCTATCAAACTCCCGAAGTACACGATCATACATGTATGAATAATGATCAGGTAGTAATACCATTCGGTGTGAAGAGGTTTTTGAGGTAGTAAGATTGTATAAGCATGTTCGTGGACAATTCTGTATGAAGCCAATAGGTGTGGTATGCTGATACAGAAGTGACACCGTTTCCTGTACCGAGTAATGGTAAAAGCTGTACACAAAATCGCCACTTAATCTACATGTATCTTTTGCCACCAAAAATCCCGAAAAGGAGTCTAAACTTTTCTGCACATATCCAATTTTTTGATTGAAATCTGTCGATGCAATTTTTGAATCTCCAACATGCATTGACCCTATCGCAAATGATTCTTCTAGCAATGTTTTGTTGACTTTGTCCCCGTTAGGATCTAGATCCTTTGACCTAATTTTCCCCCCATTTAGGAAAAGAAACAAAAGTGCAGAACACTCACCTAATTTTGACAAGACCCCGTTTAGAAAATAATAAGGCTTCTCGAAAAACTTTACTCTATCTTTCTGCAATTCTGGAAAATCTCTGAACAGCTTACAGCATTGTGGGAATCCAATTCCTGGTTCACAGAGGACTATTGCTTTCTTTTCATTATCTCTCCATGAAAAGTCACCATGTAATGGTTTGTACAAGTCTAAAAGTTCCATTTTTTCCTTTTCAACTTTGTAATCTTTAGAGCTTATATCAACTGTGTTAGATCCAACAAAAACATTCTCTAATGAATCTCTTTTCAAAGAGTTAAAAACTTCGTTACGAATTGATTTGACCAGAAAATTTGCCTGTTTTTGTTTATTCCCACAAAGTGCTGGAAGAACAGATTTGATCCTTTTGTTCCACTCTGCAACATCTCTATCATACACATCTTTCTCTCCAAACATGTTATCGACAAATGTAATTAATTGTGTTTTAGGAGGCGCTAAATCAAAATCTGTAATGTCATGAAGTTGAAGGGGCTGTCTGCTTGGCTGTTCTTCCATAAGCCAATGTAGGAGTTGCATAGCAATGGTTGTTTTGCCATCCCCAGTGTTTCCCTTGATAACTACTACTCCAGTTTTTTGGAGCTTTTCTTTAGCATCTTGAAAACCTTTGGTGACTATGAATATATTCTTCATTTCCTCTTCAATTCTAGCTTTTGTTATTCCTGCACAAAATAAAACAAATGATATTCGACACAAAACAAAGAGTTATCAGGTGTTTGTTTTAAATCACAGAACCTGTTAAAAAGTATTTATCATTATACTTCTTTTTAAAAAGCGAATATAAAAAAGGCAAACATGACAAAGAGTTGACCAGCCACGAGCCAAAATGTTAATATTATCGAAAATATGTAATGTCCTAGTCAAGAAACAGCTAAAACAATGTATTGGAATGAACAGAGGTGATCTGTTTCGTGAAATCAAGAACATCTGAGTAAAGATCACTACAGACTATGTTAAATGCCTGTACTGATCTATTCCTCAGAGATTATTGAGTGTCATTCGACTGAAAGAACATCTAAAAAGTAATAAGTAAGTTGTCATTATTCATTTTAATTCCTCCTAATTACGTTAATTATGTCTGACAGTTTACCCACTAGCCATAACATATTTAACACGCCGCCGTTTTGTACGAATATGTATTGTATCAAACATGTAGTGACACGAAGTATGTCTGGACATAATACGATCACCACATCACTTACAAATAAACGTTAATGGTGTGACCAGGTGGTAACAGTCTGATACGGCCAATGATATACAACCGCACTCGGATACGTTCACGTGTCTACGTTACCGAAAACACCCGAATAACCCCAAATGCTCGCCAACACTATATAGAAATAATCGGAAGATAATATAATTTGAATATATTTTGCATTAAATATAACTTATTAAATATGGCTTTAACAACTTGATAAGCATCGGTTCTTAAAAGTTTCTTTTATCGAATCATCGGGTATTTGATTAATTTGAGACGCATAGAAATTATCAACAGAACAGGAATGGGCAGTCGTTTCTCATTTAAAATTCTAAGATCATCTTTCCTTGTTTGTTGTCTTAAAGTCATCCTTTAACGAAGTTTAGAACCTGTTATACCGATGTTAAAATCTGAACAATTTGAACATACTGAAGCACATATGCTGTATGTATGCTTATATAGTATACAATGAGGATTGCAATAATCTAAACAAAGAATATTTGACTAATAATTTGCTAAAATGTTGGACAAACCCCTTTTTTCGAACACACGTCATAGGCTGTAAACGTATTTTAGAAATTGGGCGATGGCAATGTTTAAAAACCGCTAGAACTGCAAGTCACAAACTAAAGAAGCGTTGCCAGGCTCAAAAGAAATAGAAACCGATAGATTAGTATGTACTGTATAGTTGCTTAATTTCGCGCGTCTATTATTTTGCGGTATTCCCGATCAGAACTATTAAGTCGGGAATTAATTCTGCGCAACATTGCCGAAAAAAACCCCGAAGAAGTGTTTTATCAAAATAATGTAAAATATGATTTCACTGTTACTTTGTCTTCATTATCCGGTAGTGAAATGGTAAACAGGTGTTTATTTTATCATGGTATCAATGTTCTCGGGTTATCAAATTTCGGGCTATTTTCGGTGACCATAACAAAGCGAAATTAGAACACTTACAAGTCAGTAAGGGCCCCGTCTTGTTGCAATATACCTCTCAAAATCATAAAGAAGCAATCTGCCTACATAGCTGAGCTTGATGTTTGACATTTGGACTTCAAAAAGAATCGCAAGGAAGCAAAATATACGTTTTACATGTACTATGATGTGAGTCTTGTTTCCTTCCACTCCATATTTGCTGGGGTAACACAAATGTAAATACCGGTGCAATACTCATTTGTTAGCTTTGATTTGTTTTATTATACATTAAATACCTCCACATCAAGAGCCGGGGTCAAAGTCAGAACTCCACTTTGTCTTTGATCTTTGGACCAAAATGACCTTGACGTTTAACCCAGTGATCCTGATATTTGGTCAGTTGACTTATTCTTTAATTCCGACCAACTTTGCTTCATAATATCATATCAAAATATTAATCAGTGAAAAATACAAAACTTGACCTTGACCTTGAACTTTTGGACCTCGTATCCTTGGCTTTTGGTCAGTTGAATCCGTGTAAAGTTCTGAAGAACTTTGCTTCGAAAAAAAATGTCATCAGTAAAAAGATACAATATTTGACCTTGAGCTTTGACCCAGTGACATTGACCTTAAGTCAGTTGACTTTTTGTTAAATTCCGACCAACTTTGCTTCATAATATCATAACAAAATGTTCATCAGGGAAAAGATACAAAATTTGACCTTGATCTTTGACCCAGTGACCTTGACCTTTGGTCAATTTACTCCTTGTGTGATTCTGACCAACGTTGCTCCATAGTGTCATAACAAAATGTTCATCAGTGAAAACATACAAAATTTGACCTTGACCTTTGACCAAGTGATCTTGACCTTTGGTCAGTTGACTCTTTGCTTAATTCTCAACAAGTTTGCTTAATAATGTCATAAAATGCTCATAAGTGGAAAGCTACGAAATGTAACCTTGACCTTTGACCAAGTGACCTTGACCTCTGACACAATGAACTTGACATTTGGTCAGTTGACTCCTTGTTTAATTCTAATCAACTTTGCTTCATCATGTCATAACAAAATGTTCATCAGTGAAAAATGCAAAATTTGACCTTGACCTTTGAACATAATGATCTTGATATACGATCTTGACTTTTTACCTCAAACGAAATTTGTGAACGGACGGACAGACAGACAGAGAGACAGACGGACAGACATACAGTGATTACTATAGGCGATACGAAACCCTAATAAAATCCCTCGCGAAAATTACCGATATACAGTATTCTTTGAAAAGAATGTAAAGACAGCAATCATTCATAGTTCTGTACCGTCAAGCGAAAGCCGACAATAACGAGAGATTGCTATATCTCGAAACCTAAAGACGTTAACATCTTGAAAAAGTTATCTTTACACTGATTTATGTATACTGAAGAAAACCCATGTAGTAGTTAATCTTATACAATTTTGAAGGAACTCATAGCATTGTTGGAAATATAGACATTAAATAATGTGGGACGAATAGTTTTAAACAATACAGTTAGAGGGAACCATCAAGATATTTTGTAGATTGATCAATGTGCTTGTTTATTTCTCGAAATGGACACAAGGCCCTGATGCTTATTTGTAATATCCAAATAAATGTGTCCATATTAATGATTCCAGTAGTTTTTAGGTAGAAATTTATGACATTAGTAAAAAAAAAAAATACGCGCCTGGTTCAATTTGGGTTACTTACCAATCATGGCTTCCCTCTTGCTTCCAAACGCTGTAAAATACCAGATTTACATTATATAGCGAACAACATTTATGTTTGAATGCATGCAAATTGTTTAAACATTTGTGAAATTTTATAAACATTTACGAAATTTTATGAACATTTATGAAATTTTATGAACATTATGAAATTATGAACATTTTATGAACATTTGTGAAATCTTAGCTACACTGTATAAAATTTACCAAGAGCAAACCTACATTAAAACAATAGATTATATTTACGATAATGTAACTGTCTATAATGAGGTCAGATTTATGTTAACCACCGCTTTTAACCATTATACATGTTCAACGTATCCTCCGTTGTATTGTATTTTCATATAACATTATAAGATAAATACAACTATTTCAATTGATTTAATATCAATACTTTTCCTTCACATTTATAATCGACACATTTCTAATCATAACAAACTACACGCCTACACATTCTTAACCTACACAGATGTCATTCTTTAGTTTCAGTAGCACATATGTCAAGTCCATATCCGTGACTTAAATATGTTTGCCTACACATCATTCAATACACAAATACCACTGACACATATTTCACAAGCTCATAATTCAGCCACATACATTTTATCTACATGTTTCACCCAAACACACTCCATCCGAGCATATTTCACCTCATGTACACATATTACGTTACATACGTGTGTCTAATACAATATTTTAAAGAATATACTATACAAAAACAAACCTGTTGACTGTCGCTGTTTAAGATCTTACCTGGTTTTCTGTTTTTTGGCTTTGGAGTGTCCTAATAATAAAACAATTATAGTTATCTTACTGACTATCAAACGTTAACAAAAGACATTGACCTAACAACCCTGATTTGCTAGTTACATGTCAATACAACCATTAAAGAACAAGAGGTCAACATAGCCTGTATCTCTCAACTGGATATCTAAGCAATCATAGCAAAATATTCTCCAAATAAGATCCAAGGGAATAGGCCAGATCCCGAGGCCAATCCTTTAGCATATCTGTATACCATTGTTCATGCCCAAATATATTATGTACGGTTATGGCTGGGGCAGATACCGGGGTCATCTTTATAATCTACCTTGACGTGACTTCAGCTTGATCTTCAACTTGACCTTTGACCTATGACTGCCTCCTCAAAACCTTCTAATGTCAAGGGGCTCGAAGTCACCTACCAGCACTATTATAGGTATCAATTACACAGGTAACCTTGTTGTTCTACGTCATACGCATTTATTTTTATAACACATTTCAGGCATGCTCAGTTTCTTTTTTCCGCTAGTATACATATTTATCTCAAACAAATGTATCACTAACACATGTACATTTGTACGACCCACCCATTTATAAACAGCACATTTATCACATATGCATATATCATCAACGCATGCACCATTAATTCAACAAACCTGAGGAATGTCCATGCTCTTGCTGAGCTCCAGTCCGCGTTCGTTTAGCTTTTGATAAACCTGCAGGGAAATGATGTAAAAGCTATTATGTAGAGCAAACGTTTTGAATGCATGCTAAGTCATTACACATATGTATATAAATCGCTGATTAAATAGCAGCTTATGCGATATCTGATAGGGAAATATTGATCACATGACGGTGAAACAAAATGTAGTATCGCCCTCATATAAAATTCCTGAAATCTGCTTACTTTAATTAGATAAATTACTCAGTAACGTAATTGGGTGCACAGATATGTCACCTATATGTGTCTACTGTACATAACAAGTTATTTTTTGGACAGGAAATTAAATTCATAAAAAAATATTGAACATCAATATGGCATTGTGATTAATTAATTATCTTTTGTTTATTTGTGTATATATGATCAAAAATGAGTGTTGACTGGACTGTTGCTTAGGAAGACAGATCAGAAAAGAGAAAGTAGATAAGGAAGAAAAAGTTACGAAGGGGGAAAATGGGGGAAAATTCCTAAATTTGTCATTTTAATTTTTCATGTTTTCTTAGTAGAAAACACAATAGAAAACCCCGGACTCGGCAGGGAGGTCTGCATTAGTCTCTTACGATACGAATGCATAGGGAAACAGCAGATTTATTTTCAACTTCTTTAATGTCCCTAAATAGAAAAGAGCAGGAAACTACCATTGATGTTACAGTGACCCGTCTAATCGCCTCTTACGATCATGCAGTGTGATGCACGAAGTACAACAGTATAAGAAGTTAATTATTCAGAATGTATATTGTTAGTGTTTTCCACATTTTTATTGTGGTATTTCGTTACAAATGTAAGTGAATTTTACCTGCACTTTCTTGATGTATCAGTGTTGTATACTTGTCAATGATCTCTCCTGCTTCCACGTTGTGATGAACAAGAATATCACGGGCACGTCTATACTCCCCAAGTTTGACGACTCCCTTCTTCTTCAAAGTCATAAATAGATCTTCCATTCCTGTTTTGTCGTCAGTATCGTTTGCAGTAACATACTTCATTAACAGGAACTCTTTGCAAATGTAGAGAAACTGATCTTTTGAAAATAAATCACGTAACTGCCGTATCATTTCTAATTGGTATTGTAGTACGGTTTCCTTTGGTTTTTCCTCCGCCATATTGACCTGTAAAAATGAAGCATGATTATGAAAGTTTTTAAGCGTGAACTGTTTGGTAAAAGTAGCAAAGCATCTCCACGTGGAATCCGATCGCAATATAATTTCACTGATGTTCTACTACTGGTACACCTTTAACAAGAAGGCCCAATGGGCCGTAATCGCTTACCTGGTAATCATATCAAACTTGTACCAATAAAAGTAGACTAAAATTAAGCTACATGCAAAAGATCTGATCCAAGGGAAAGGGCCAGACCCCAACGCCATTCCTTGTAGCATATATATATTTTGATTTTCTTGCCCAGCAATTTAATGCATTGTAATGGGGTGGTGATCTCAACTGTTTCCAGGTTGTGACTCAGAAGCTAGGTCCCTAGGGTTGTGGTTAGAGCCAAGGGTCAATTCTAATATCATGACTGCATTATTCTCTTTATGCCCAGCATTTTTATCTATAGTTTTGGGGTGGGGGTCTCAACTGTGTCAAAGTTATAACCCAGGGGTTAAGTCTGCATGGGTGGGGCAGACCCCTGGGTCAATTATAAGATCATGATTGCATTCGTCTCTTTATGCTCAGCAATTGTATATATAGTTTTGGTTTGGGGATCTTTACCATTTCGAAGTTATGACCCAGGAGTTAAGTCTCCGAGGGTGGGGCAGATTCCGGAGTCATCCTGGAAGCATATGTGTGTTCGTCTCTTTATACTCAGCAATTGTATATATGGTTATCAGTTGGGGGGGGGGGGGGGGGGGGGGATCTCAACAACTATTCCCAACCCTTCACCACTCACGACATGGCGGGGAACAGGAAGTAACTATATATAGTGATTAGTCAGCTGTACTGGAATGCTTTGTACAGTTAACTATAATTACACCCCGATACAATGACACGTACCTGTCATGTGTATTAATGTGTGTTATATCGATTTATCCAAGCTACATGGTATGAGACAAGACAGGCACGCAATGGTAGAAGGCGTATAAACAAACTTCGAACAAAACGTTATCGTAATAACACGTTGTACTATTTGAATTGAGTACAAAGAAATTGAGTTTTTTCGTCGCAAATATTTTGCAGCAAGTGTTAATTTCAGTACTGAGTGGACGAGAAACACGAATTTCATTACTGAGTTGACGAAATACACGAATGCTTGTTAAAAGATAGGGAAGCACATGCTATAAGTATAATTTGATAATTACGATACCTGCCTATATAATCAACATATACGTCCATTTAGATCGTGAATGCAAATCCTTCGAATTGTTTGTTATCAAGCACATATTTCGACAAAAGATCAGACGTGCATGTGACAGACTTCCTCTCAGGGCGAGGGACTGACTACACACGTAATGCCGGAACCTTTTGTTGATAAGTTCGGCCATAGATCGGGACAATCAATCACTACTGTTTTGCTGCATTCACGTACAGCCGTTTACACAAAGGCAACAAGGCAAAACGATCGCGAAAAAAGCTCTGTTAGCTTTATAAATTGAGTAGCGATATTTATCTAATGATTACGGATTACATTACGTAGAACCCTTGCACACAGACGAACACACATAAACACAAACCCTGCAGAACCCTCAACAAATATAAATAGTACATATAGGTATGTAAACAAGAAGACAAAAGACTTTTATCGCTCATTTACTCTTCTACTTTTAAATCTTAATGATGTTGAATACGTCACTTGTATACGTCATACAATAAGCACACTTAAACTTTGTACGGAAAGTTTGTGTCTATACCACTGTTATCCTTTATAAATACATAAATACAATTTTAAGCTTATTTGTCCCCTTTATCCTTAAAATAGGAATAAGTTTTCCCTGCAATAGTAGACTTATTAAGGAGGGGTATTTGTGTTACTTAGACATATTTCCACTTTCGTCCTGACCCAATATAGGTAAAATCCGTGTACAGACATGGAAGAACTAGGTAATGAAACATTAATATCTTTTTCTGTGTTTTCAAGATAAAAACAAACACTCATTTAAATTTAAATATAGTTAGGACAGAGAAACTTTAACCATTGGAGACATGACGTCACACCTTTCAATTATACGACATTGAGTGCCAAGCATTGTGATTTTCTCCCCGATTTCTATACGTTTGCTAAAAAGAAATAGGATCCCTGTTCCTCCGCGGACGAAACATTAGTTAAACCTACAGTCATTGTTCGTGTGTACAATAACGTCCTTGTTTTTAGTTTGACGCCCTCGCAACAGCCAGTGGCATATGAGGACGGATGCCTAGGAAGAAAAAGGTCCCAAGTATTGAAATCGAGACAGCAGATCAATCTTGGTCTCTTACATGTCCTCCTAGTAACAGACAGGAAAAAACACGATTCCGTAGGAGGCTCTACATTAGTCGCCTCTTACTATCAGTGAGAGGGATACTTGCACGGTTTACTTCCTCAGATGAAGCTTTGGAGATAACCATATTGTGACTGGGTACGAGTCCTACCGTTTGCGATGTAGCTCAGTTGGTAAGAGTGACTTTACCGTGACGGTGGTTCAGAATTCGAATCATCATGTAGCTCTACTCGTCTCAGAACGTATTTAACAAATATGTCGGCTTAAGGTTAAGAAGAAAATCATACCTTGTGGTCATTTTCATGTAATGCGATACCCAAGTTGTCTTTAGGCCAAATAAAAAGTATGTTTATGTTTCAGGTAACATGCTTGAAAAACGCTCTCTCTCTTTAGGGGTGGGGGTTAATTAAGAAAAATACAAAAAATCACCAACCATAATTATGTTTATGGTTTTTTTTAAATATCGATATGGAATTTAAGCTTAGTTTCGATATCTACCTATCAATTTGATTTCATCGAGTGGAAAAGTTATCTATATACTGGATGGAATGCGTTCGAGTGAGGTTAAATTGCTTTTGCTCGAGGTAAAAACTAGGGTCGGTCGGAGTTACATACATACTTTTTGGCCTTAATGCTAACCTTTTATTCATTACAATTCAAAGACGTTCAAGATCAAATCTATTTAAATGCCACCTAATCAGTACTCAACACGCACACTTTGAGTCTGTATTTGATAGCTGCGTTACCCTACACCTTATGAACATTCTATGGATTTTTTTTTTATTCTAATTTAATATCTGACCTTCAGTGTTTGTTAGTCTAGGTCATTTATTCCGATCCCATTATTCATATCTCTTTACATCATTGAGTTACATGTGAAATATATATATACCTTAGGCCTCTTTGTTGAAAAAATAATAAATGCACTCGTCTCAATTTATATATCAATACACTATGGGGTTTACGCAGCTGCTCCTGTGTTTGTACATTGTACGGTACTTATAACCATTCTGATTCCCAACTTTTTGGCCCATAACATCACTGGGCAGACTGGTATATGATACAAAGTCAAATCACTGCCATTATTGCTAGTTCTTGTATTGTATTAACGGATTTTTCACCATTTTATATGTTACGGTCACGTGATGTAATAATACGTGTAGTCACCGAGACCAAACCTCTCTCGGGACTCAGATGATAGACAGGTTAGGTAACACAATAAACACGATTAAGCAAGTCCAGACGAAAATGGCGGCCATGACGACAAAAGCAAACGACAATGTTTTGCGTCACTATGTACAGTTAAATTTTATCAAAGGTACACATGTTACAATAACGTTGTACACACAGCTATTTGAATGATGCCATAGCATGCTTACCTTTTAAATTCATTGACACAATCGTCTTAAAAATCTCAGGTTTTCGAATCTCATCTGTTGTGTAACTCTTCACCACTCACGATATGGCGGAAAACAGGAAGTAACTATATATAGAGATTAGTCAGCTGTACTGGAATACCTTATGAATGCACGCTTCTAACTATAATTACACCCTGATACAATGACACGTAACTGCCATGTGTATTAACCGTGTGTTAAATCGACTTCTTTATGCTACATTGTGTGAGACAAGACAGGCACGCAATGATAGAAGTCGTATATAAAAAAAAATCCAATGAAACTTGACCTTAAGAACGAGTTGTACTTTTTATCAGAGTATACACAAATTGAGTTTTTCGTCGCACAAATTATGACACCTGCCTATATAGTAAACATATATAGTAAACATATATTTAGATCGTCAATATACATCATTAGACTTTTTGTTATCTAGCACATATTTTTACAAAAGACGTGACATAATTACCCTCAGGGCGAGGGACGGACTACACACGTAATGACGAAACTTTTTGTTAGTAATTATCAGCCATAGATCGGGACAATCAATCACTACTGTCTTACACAAGTACAGACATTAAACAAAGGCAACAAGCGAAGCGATCGCGGGGTCAAAAGTCTGGCTAACTTACAAAAGCAAGGAATGTTTTTTTAATAAAAGCCTACTACGTACATATACATATGTAAGCACAAACATCGCTCCCAAGGCATCCTCGATATCCAGGGGTTACGCTCACTTTCGCTCTCTACACCCCTGGAATATGTCATAGCAAAATTGAAGGCAAGACGATAGCTGTTTGATTGGTCTCAGGTTAAAAAAAACACTGACCAGTCGCTAGGCTGATACCTGTCCTTTGAAGATTACAAATGAGAGACGCCCGATTTCAAATCCTGTCAATTTTTATCGTTACGTGACCGCGAGATTCTGTTGATGTATATTAAAGGATCGAACTAGTCTTCTCGTCTCATCAACAAGGTGGTACACACTGAACATTCAATTTTGCTTTGACATATTCCAGGGGTGTAGAGAGCGAAAGTGAGCGTAACCCCTGGATATCGAGGATGCTCCCAAGATGGCCATCGACGTGTATAAACAGGGTATATAGACATATAGTGTATTTTTATTTGATGAAGCAATACCTTTCTATATCCTTGCCATGCTTAGGTTCATGTATATGAGTAAAGCTGCAGCGTATGAATACTTTACGCATGAACTACTTGCAAAATGTAAACAAAGATGGATGCAATACGTTATCGAATTATATTGATTTGAGATTTTAATCAATATTATATACAATTTTTGTATTGACACTTTTCATGTGATTTCATTTTCAATTAAGCAGCATGGGATTTTGCAAAAATAACAAGCATTCCAAGCATCTCCTGCTGGTGAGACAGAATGGCTGATGATGACAGTTCACACGGCTTTATTGTTTACTTAAAATGGCATTTTCTTAAGTTGAGAAGATGAACTGTTTACCAACACAAAAAAAATACAAAAAGATATCAGATTTAACTCTTGTAGTTGTACCAATACACATGCAATGAAACAGGTGATTGATTGTTTACTGAGGCTTTGGCACAGCTATCTATCATTGGCAACAGACCAACCTAAGACACGCATTCTAATTCATTTGATATGTAACACGACATTTGATTGGTCAATCAAAATAATTTGCGATAGTATAACCACGATGCACCGTCCGCAAATTTCTCATTTGCACATGAAGCCTGGATGGCGGCTGTTAAAGATGTCAATGACCCCGACTGACCCTAACACGTCATGCAATTGAATATTCCTGACGTCACCAATCAACCGCAAAGTGACACAGAATTGGACGAAAACACTGGAAAATATCTTGAATAGTCGTCTCTGTTGGTGGTTTTGGCTTATGTTCTGCCCTAGCCTCCTCAGATGCGTAAAAAGTATAGCCGGCAGAAAGATAACTGATCTTTCATCAGACATCGTAAAAACTATAATACAAACAAACGAGTTCTTTCAAACTAATAAAGCAATATGGACAATTTAAATGGAAATTATCTGTATGCTTAAACGTTATATATAAACATTGGGTTGATTTACTAATATTTACTGACAATAATTATTTAATTATCATGGCATTATATGATAACCACGTGGGTTTATGCAAATCGCGCACCTTGATTTTGACTTACGGCATGACACGGATTTACATGACAAAATATAGCCAAGGGAATAGATAATAGCCATGCTCACTGTTAACGTTCGCTAAAGGGACAATAATACAATCAATATTCAGTAACAACGTACATCGGTGACACTAATTCTATGGTGACCAATTCAATTGACCGCCTTTAGGTCTTACAGTTTCGTGTTCATAAAATGGCGTCTGTACCAAAACATAACAAGTGGCGCTACCTAGCGCTAACCGAATTCCGCAACAAGGGAAATAACTCTTTAGGTAATTATGGTAATTAATTTTATCGATACAATCATAGTACTGAAAGTACTGCACTGAACAGTACACAGCTTATATGAATCAGAGTGCGGATAACCCTACTGCATTTTGAGATTTGCGGCAGTATATGATATACCGCTGAAAATTTAAAAACAGCAGGGTTTTCACCTAATTTGAAACAAAACTAAAAAGGTTCAAATATTATACAATTAATGAAAAGCACAATAAACTTTTTGAGGAACAGCAAGCCGAAAACTGTAATGTGAACTCCTGAGAGCAGCAACATTAAACAAAAAAGCTACCTTACACATTATACCTTGGATTTGTGTTAGAGTTAAGGTTATATGCTACCTTACACATCATACCTGTAATTTGTGTTAGAGTTAAGGTTATATGTTACCTTACACATTATACCTGTAACTTGTGTTTGAGTTAAGGTTATATGCTACCTTACACATTATACATGTGATTTGATTTAGAGTGAAGGTTATATGATACCTTACACATTATAGCTGTTACTTGTGTAAGACACAGACAATACACACAGACAATACACACACACAATATACACACAGACAATACACATAGACAACACACACACACAATACACACACACAATACACACACACAATACACACACACAATACACACACACAATACACACACACAATACACACAGACAATACACACACACAATACACACATACAATACACATACACAATATACATACACAATATACATACACAACACACACAGACAATACAAACAGACAATACACACAGACAATACACACACACAATACACACAGACAATACACACAGACAATACAAACAGACAATACACACACACACAACACACACACACAATACACACACAATACACACACAGACAATACACACAAACAATACACACACACAATACACACAGACAATATACACAGACAAAACACACACACAATACACACAGACAATACACACACAATATACACAGACAATACAAACAGACAATACACACACACAATATACACACACAATACACACACACAATACACATACACAATACACACAGACAATACACACACACAACACAAACACACAATACACACACAATACACACACAGACAAAACACACACAATACACACACACAATACACACACACAATATACACACACACAATACACAGAGACAATACATACACACAATATACACACACAATACAAACAGACAATACACACACACACAATACAAACAGACAATACACACACACAATACACACACACACAATACACACACAGACAATACAAACAGACAATACACACAGACAATACACAGAGACAATACATACACACAATATACACACACAATACAAACAGACAATACACACACACAATACACACACACACAATACAAACAGACAATACACACACACAAAACACACACACACAATACACACACAGACAATACAAACAGACAATTCACACAAAGACAATACACACACAATACACACACACAATACACACACACACAATACACACACACAATACACACAGACAATACACACACACAATACACACACACAATACACATACAATATACACAGACAAAACACAGACAATACACACAGACAATACATACACACAATATACACACACAATACAAACAGACAATACACACACACAATACACACACACACAATACAAACAGACAATTCACACAAAGACAATACACACACACAATACACACAAACAATACACACACACAATACACACACAATACACACACACACACAACACACAGACAATACACACACAGACAATACACACAGACAATACACACAGACAATACACATACAGACAATACCCACAGACAATACACACATACAATACACACACACAATATACACACACAATACACACACACAATACACACACACAATATACACAGACAATAAACCCACACAATACACACACACAATGCACACACAGACAATACACACACACAATACACACAGACAATACACACACACAATACACACACACAATATACACGCACAATATACGCAGACAAAACACACACACAATACACACTCACAATACACACACACAATATACACAGATACTACACACACACAATACACACAGACAATACACACAGACAAAAGAAGTTAGAGTCAGATTTAGTATTTCATAATTGTATTTGTATATCTGTAGACAGAAAGGGACATTTTAACAAGTAGTGAAATTCGTCACCAATGTCTTGGGTATCCAATATGTGCATATTCTATTTTGGTAATCAATATTATTTCATCTTCCACTTTCCACTATAAACTTACTAGTTCTAAATTTACGCAATACAATTCATTCATTTTTCAGTCAACAATTCTAGATAATTTACAACACACAGACTTAGAGGAATTAAACATTTCACTAGATACTTCATTTTTGTAGAAACTGGTCATTTAATATTTGCTGTGTATTACGTTTAAAATAATCACGGATAAGGAAACAAAAAGTATCCGTAAACCCTTTATAGTAAACTACACTGCTAACAGTATCAGTTAGTTCTGCTTCATCCAATAATCTGCATACCACTTCTAGTGTATTGTCGCAGATAGTTCCTCCATATTACAATA